GGGGGGGGCTTGAATAAAACTAGGTATACTTTAAGAAAATAAATATTTATTAAATTTGAATTAATGCTGATGGGAAGAAAAGGCTGAGCATGACAACTGTGTTCTCCGACTGAATGTAGCCACAAATGTCTAGGAGTGGATAGAAGAGGGAAGTGTTATAAGGATAAAGTATCAATGTTTGTAGGCTTTGTGCTGGTCTTATGGACCGAATTGTAACCTTTTCATTCTTTTCCTCAGGTAAACCTAAGGATCCAAATCATTTCAAATACGGAGCAGAGTCTTTGGAAGCATGGAAGGAAGGACGCCTTTCCAAAGACATTGTTGAAGAACAGAAGAAGGTTGAAAAAGCCGACCTTATTATATTTCAGGTATGTTTGTTAAAGTATATGTACAGTCTAACAAAGGAGTAGGAAAATGTAGGACCCCTGTCAGGTTTTTATCCTTGCCTTTGCCGCTGTTGAGAAGATTCACCTTCTTATTTGTCCTGTTGACCATTGTCATTGGACAGAAAGTGATGAATAATCCAAAATGTCACATTTGTCACCTAAACAAGAATAGATGAGAAACCTTGTTCTAAGGACAACTGTCTACGAGGGGATTTTCCCTCACTTGGAATAGATTTCCTCTCACTTCCTGTTATGTTTTTGAGACAGTAAGTGAATGGATATCTCCATAAAGGGACACAGGAAGAAAGAAAACAGAAGAAAGGGGTTTAAGTCATTGTCCACTCTATCCAAAACAAAAATGTTTTTTGGCAGTTGATTTATTTTAAAGCAAAAGTTTTAATAAATCCCCATCTTGGCACTATCAAGTAAAAAACCATTCTAACAAAACCCACCAAAGGGCTGTTCAGTTAAAACTCACAAACTTGAGTTGGACAAGAGAAAGGGGATTCAATAGTGACTCATTGAGGTAATTTCTGAAGCCATACTTCTCTTATTGGACTGGTCTCCAGTGAGAAGACGTGTTCTCTAAGCGCTTACTGACAGATTAAAGCACAGACACCATCATTTTTATTTATTTGTATAATTTTATTGATACAAATCTTTAGTTGAGACCAGCATTGGTGTCGTTTCTCCATTGTCATCTACAGCCATTCACAATAGGCACGGCTGCAGCTTCATCACAGGCTACATTTTGTGAATGGCCAAACAGAGGAGACATGACACCAGTGCTATAAGGTCCTAGACAGCTAGACAGTCCTTGTATTTAGTATATGAGTTAGGGCCAATGGCTGTTGTGGACTATTTCTACATAACATTCCAGTTGGCCTTTTAAGTAGCAATAGAAACAATCTAATTGCAATACGTTTACTTAAGTTAAGCACACAGCTATCATTAGGAGCTGGATTATCTACCTTAAATGGAACCTGTAAGGGGAAAAAGCTATAAAGGTTACAGCTGGCCACACACAATATAATTGTAGATCTCCTTTAAGTTGGACACATTTCGGGCAAGTCCTGATGACTTGGCTGAAATTCTACCAGTATGTATCCCCGTCCGGACCCCTCCACCCCCCTTCCCTGTTCAACAAAAGCCAATTTTTCAATCAACTGTTGTCAAAGCAACAGGTCTGAAAAATCTTGACCAATAGTGACTGCAGCCAAACAGTTGCAGTCACTATTTGTATTCTAACAGCAGCAGAAGAGGGAATCTAGAGTTTCCCAGTGTATGGCTAGCCTTGTATTATGAGGGTCTATCTGATTGGATGTTAATTTAATGGATTATTTAGATACGCCCTCATACTGTATAATTGTTAGTTGATTTAAGAGAAGATTATACAGAGATTGTACAGATTGTGGCCAACTTTATTTACCCAGAACAGCAGGCAGGCGGGATGCCTTAATAAAGCTGGCAATGCGGGTATTGAATTTGGGTCAATACTTGCTGAATTGGCCAAAAATGTTTATCCATGGGTGCCCTTTTGCACCACCCAGTTTGACAAAAATTGATGTTCCAATCTTTTGCTGTAAGAGGCAGGTGGAATGTTCTTGACCCCCCCCCTCCCCTTAGAAACCAATCTAAGCTGTTCTGTGATGCTTGTAGGGCTTGTTCGCACCATGTCCAGACCAGAGTGTTTTTTGTCCGCACCTGAAATGCATCCCAATGTATTCCTATGTATTTCTGGACTCTTTTCATCCCAGTACAATCTGTTCCAGTGCGGATAAAATAAATGCTGCATGCACTATTTTTTCTGGTCTAGAACACATGTAAACGCATGCAAATACACTGGACTGCACCGAAAAGCCAATTTTAAGCTAAAAATCAATTTAAAAAACGCACCGGAACGCATCAAAAACACAATGCAGCTCATTTGCAAAAACACTTCCAAATCTGGTCCATTCATGGTTTAAACAAGCCCTTACAGACCAACATCTATGGTCACTGCTCTTAGTCCACCCTCTCCAGCTTCATGCACATTACTGTTGGTTAGTGAGGCTGCCAATTAAATATTAGTGTGCAGCCACAGAACCATATACCCAATACTACCCACCTCTTAGATTGTTTGAGGGTTGACCACTTTTGTCTCTTGAGGCGTGTCATTTTTATCCATTTATTAAGAGATGTAATATATTGATTCTCATTAAATAAAGGTCAATAATAATAGAAGCATGTTATATGTTGCAGTTTCCCCTGTACTGGTTTGGGATGCCCTCCATAATGAAAGGATGGGTCGAGCGAGTGTTCACACTGGGTTTTGCCTACACTTTTCAGACTATGTATTCTGAAGGACTATTCAAGGTAAGAAGAATTGCAAACTACCCTGCAATGCATACAGCGTACCCCTCCGAGGCGTCAGCTTTGTATTTAGGCAATGCCATGTTGCATCAATCTGCCGCATTCCACTTTGTTCATGTCCAAACTCCTAGATACCATCTGTAAGCTAATTTTCTGAGGCTGTCAAATTTCTCAACTCACCAATATGAGTCCCAATAGAAGATCACAAGAAAACAAGTGCAGTCGACATGTAAGAGTATCAACTGATATTAAGTGTACACACAGTTGGCTGTCTTACACACTATGGCGATTCAAAGGGTTTCCTTGTGTTATGCTTAAAAAAAAAAAAAAATCAGAGACACTATTTTTCTGCTCAGACATACACTTTAATGCTAACACTTTTATCCGTTAAGTTTTCTTGTTTATTACAGCCTGCAGTGGGTGGGTTTGGCAACGGCGCTCCTACCTTATGAATAGGGAACCAAAAGGGTCTCCAGATCCCCAGATTAGTTACAAAAGTGCATTGCATACAAGTCAATCATATCTGGATATGCATAAGGACATCTATGTCTTGGTGCAGTATATGGTGGATTCGGTACATCTTGGCAATATATGCACATTTACCCATGTTTTATGCCATTGCCTTATTAATGCTGCAAGTGCAGAACACTACTTGTTGATCTGTCAGAAATTCAATGAGCTCCTAACTTCCTGTTGGGGCTGAGAACACAGCGCCTCTTCTGCACTGAAATCCCAGCTAGTGTTGTCAGCACTGCCTGTTGGACTACAGAACTCCACCTATACTTCTCTTGCCCACTCCACATGAATACTTTGATTTCTTTCTCAGCTAATAAATGCTGCTGCCATGACTCCCAAAAGCCTGCCGCACACTGTGTGTAGGGAAAAGGCTTTTGGGAGATGTAGTTCTATGGGCGTGCCTACCTTAGTAGGAACTGAGATCCCAGTGGCTGCTCCTTCAATATACTAGTAATGTTGCAGGGAGCAATAAAACATAAATAAATCATGTTTGGACATGCTTTAGGCTGGGTTCACACCTAATAGTCCCTGCACCTTATTAGGAGGAGTAGGCTACCTCCAGGTACACCTGCATGCAATCTATCGACTTCATTAATATGCTCACACTTGGAGACTCAGATACATAGAGTTAGGACCACACTTTGCAGAGGTGCCTTGGCGCGGCAGTGTGGCTTCTACATATTTTTGGCCAAAAGTTTGTGCAACTAAAACCTCTGATTTTAACGCATACTGTTGACAGGGCTACTTGTTTGGTTGCAGGCTGGCTGGCAGGTTGGGGCTGGGGAATTTTTGTGTTTTGTATTGGGTTCACACCTAGGCATATCGAATATGCGCGTTTGTTGCGCGTTTTGTACCGCGTGTTTTTACCGCGATTCGCAGTAAAAACAAAAGACAAACGCGCATTTCCGAGGGCTACCTGGCTGTATCCCAATGGATACGCGAGGCAAAAACGCCCCAAAGAAGCTCCTGTACTTCTTTGGGCGTAGGGCGTTTTGTAGCGCGTTCATACGGCCTGTAATACGCCCAGGTGTGAACCATACCCATAGGAAATAATGGGATTTCGGTGTTTGAGCATTTTGCAGAGCGTAGGAACGCGCTACAAAAAGGTGTGAACGGGGCCTTAGAGGGAGAGCGTGAGGTGTAGGGTTAAAGTGGGGTAATGCCTGGATATATCCTTAAAGCAGGTCCTCTCAGACTTAAACCCGCCTTGCAGGTTACATGGGACCATTGACATAATAGAATTGCGCTAAATGCTTAGTGCATGTTGCACACAGTATCGCACAGTGCACACTATTGCATAGCGGACAGTATCATGCACTGGTACTTTAAATTACCATTCATTCTCAATGGCACCCCAGTGCATGGTACTTGCCATGCAGTGATAAAAAGTAGTGCATGCATTACTTTTTTCACCACACTGAAATGCATGTTATTGCAGTGCATGCAATGCCAGCCTGCGGGAAGGAGCATTGAGGCTCCATTGAGAGTGAATCCCATGCTCTAAACTCATAGATCCCACACAATTAGAGCAGCACCATAGAGTTAACAGACCCTTAATATGGTGATATATGGCTAGCTTTAGATCTAGTCATGTTCACACAAATAAAAGGACCCGGGCAATGCAACGCAACTAATAAGAATGGAAGCTTCATGTTTTATTTGATGTAATATGACCCCTTGAAAGTATAACAGGGAATAGTGAATGTAGAATTATTCCAAGTTTTATTTTTTTTTCACATATTCATTACAGAATAAGAAAGCTCTTCTTTCTATCACAACTGGTGCCCCATCATCAATGACCTCACCTTCGGGGTTGGGCGGAGACATAAATGTCAATCTGTGGCCAATGCAGGTACAGTATTATATTTGTCATGTTAAAAGTAAGCATAATAACCCTTCCTGCTGTCCCATCCTGTCCAGAGATAGTTATTGACACATGTGAATGAGATGGGTTTTGTAGCTGATGAAATCCCAGTAAGAGGCTGACAGTTTGCAATAGTACCTGTACAGGTTCATGCGGCTATACACAGAGCAGTGCCCCATACCCCTCTGTTTTTAAGATTGCAAAAACAGTGTAGATTTTTTTATTTTTTTTGCTGGCTGATATGAGTCTTGAGAAGATTTTGTATTGTTTTTTTCTTTCCTTCAGACAATTTTTTTTTCTTTCAATAAGTTTTTTATTAAGAAAGGTTTTTGCAAAGAAATAACAGTACAATTAGGGTGATCACATATTGTGAGCATACAAGCAATGTGGCATAAAGGCAATCTTGGTACTTATATTCTGATACCTCGTGTATACACACCCATGAAGAGAGTAACAGAACACGGAAGGGGAGGGAGAAAGAAAAAAGAGAAAGACTAGGGAAAGAAAAGGAGAAAAAGCCAAGTAAAAAATACAAATGCAATACAATACAACCATTAGGCTGAAATTCAAAAGCCAGGTTAAGGTTTCCAGTAGGACCAGGCATCATAAAATCTCTTCATAGAACCATCCCGAAATGATACAATGCTTTCATGTTGGTAATTTAGATTAACTATGGCAACAGTCCCAGACAAATTTGGAGAAACTAAGCTTTTCCAATGGCGCACTATGGTCAGCCTAGGTGCCAACAGAATGTGAGAAACTATCATTCGAAATTGAGGTGGAATGTTATCAATGCCCAGAGAGGTGACCGTTAATTCGGGGGTGGGCGACACAATAAAGCCTGTGGTCTGCTTCAGACAATTTAACCAAGATACAGAAGAATGGAAAATCTCAATATGCTAGGCGCAAAAAATCAGATATGTAAATCAAAATGATTTTCCGGCTGGATAGAAAATTACTGAAACTGAAGGTTTTTTAGGAAATGTAATTGCTAAACTTCACCACTTAAAAAGCAATTCCAATGTAAAATATATCTGCAACTTGAATATCTTAAATCTCCCTTGGAAGACTTTTGCAAACTTGTGAAGCCAATGTGCAATTATAGTAAAATAAGATCCTAAAATAGACCCACAAACACTATAGCTTTCCTTTCTAATTTAATTTAAAAATGTCTGCGATAGTCCACTACTTGAATCTAGTTTGCTTTGTCTAAAACTCTGTAACTCATAGGAATGACATAAAGAGACCGCAAAATTGAAAGCCTTAGGAGCCCATTCACACTATTGGGCTATGTTAGTGCACACACATTGAAACATGTGTTGCATTAAAACGACCCATTCATTTGAATAGGTTGCCTAATTCACCAAAACAGACTAAAAACAAGGATGCATGTAGCATTCTTAGTAGTTCAACGGAAGGTTGTGCACTTTAGTCAGCCGGCATGGTACATTGGGATACCTTCAGAATAACTGGCACCAACAAGTGTAAAGCAGTGCAATAGTGTGGCCAGGCAGTAAATCCAGTCAGATTTGTTTTTTAGCTTTGGATAAAATGGGATGGAGCTAAAATTGTGTCAAGTTTTTATTTCTGCCTATGACCATATTGATGTGATTTTCTGTTACTTCCTGTCCTTGTGACATCCGTATGAGAAACAGAGGGCAGTTAAAGTGAAACACAGACAGCAATAAAGACATTGTCAGAACATCTAACCCTGCCCAAGTCTACATTGGATGTGTCCCCAATAGGGGCACAGATGACAGTAAAAACCTGACAAGGGCTCGAGCCCTTCCCTACTCTATCCAAAACAAAAGTTTTCACATTGATACATTATTCAAATTACTTTAAACAAAAACATAACCACTAGGGATGAGCTGTGTTGTGCATTTCTTTGTGATCTATTATAACAAAGAAAGCAAAACCTTGTTATGAGTCTATTTATCAATGTTTTCCCCCAAAATTGATTCAATTCAATTTTATTCAAGGTTCAGCCATGTTCCCCATAAGATTCCATTAGAAAAATGGGTGAATCTTGGGTAAAAACAATGATAAATAGATCCCGTTTTTTATTACATTAGCATGTTGTTGTTAATAATGAGTAGTTAAATATTTTAAAAATGGTGAATGTGTGTTGGCTCAACCTAGTTGTGGCCAACAAGAAATAGTAGACAACATAGAGAATGATGACTGGGCGGAAGCTCCAAAAAAATGACATCATCTGCCTCTTCATCAGGGTAGTGGTAGTTATTTTTACTTTATTTGAATTTTTTTTATAGCAATACAATGTACCACTCTACCTATCTTGATGAAAAGGCAGAAGCTTTGAAATGGTCTTTTTGTTGAGCTCCATCTGGTTACTGTTCTGCACAGCAGGTCAAACATAAGGGACCCTCTTATTGCATCCCACCTGCATGACCGGCGAGTTATGACTATAACTCATCATAATATCTCTGTCTGCAGAACGGCATTCTGAATTTCTGCGGCTTTCAAGTCTTGGAGCCACAACTGTCGTACGCCGTGGCTCACCTTCCCCAGGAGGCCCGTGTTGAGATACTGAAGAACTGGGAGAAGCGACTGGAGGCTATCTGGGATGAAAAGCCCATCAAATTTCTCCCAATTCAAGACTTTGAAGGCTATTCTGGTGGATTTGTACTGAAGAAAGAGGTGGAAGAAGCCCTGGCTGCATCCAAGTATGCTCCAACAGTGGGTCAGAACCTGGGCAAGCCTCTACTGCCTGACAGCCAGCTGAAAGCAGAAGGCAACAGGCTGTGAAAAGACTGTATTGTGGCCCACATGGGAGGCTCAGTACTGTGCCACCAGTGGGACTAGGGTGACAGTACAAAGCTGTGGTCATGCACTTCAGTTATGAGTGTCTGAATGGAGGACAGTTCTTTAGTCAACAGCAACCAATCTGTTTTTCCTTTTGGTGATTCCAATGCAAGTTGTCAGACATTTTTAAGTGTCAATACCTTATTGTATCTTTATTTATAGATTTAACACCCTTTGAAGAATGCATTAAAACTTTTTTTTAAATGAATAACTCAACATTAAAATGTTTTATATTAATATTACACTTTTTTCCAATGTTTTACTAAATCACTCTGGTAAAAAGGGAAACTTCACCATAAGGAAAGTTGGAGTGCAACTGGTATAGTGCTGCATTTGGTCGTATTGCTGAGAGCAGAGCAACAGATCTCAATTAGACGTCAGCCAATAAAAAAAATATTTGCAGCCATAGGGAGGGAGAATGTCACTGTATCTGGGCACACTTTCTGTACAAGGACATTGCATAGTTAGTCAGGTTGAAAAAAGACTCAAGTCTATGAAGTTCAACCAATAGAACTCGATGGACTTGTGATTGCAGTTCTGAGTTTTTTTTTTACAAAGAGTTTTCCCAGCACCTATCTATGGATTACTAGAGTCTTGTGATATGAAAGAGGAGCAATAAAAAGCTTACAACAGTCTCCATGCACAGGTACTGTTAGATAGGATGACAAAATGAATGGTATAGGTCACTTTAAAAAGACTATTTAAGGGCCAAAGCAAAAGTATAAGCGCACCTGTGAAGAAAACAGCTTTATACATACCTGTTGGCTGAACCATTTGCTTCACGCTCCTCTTGCCGACCCCTAGCTCACTACTGTTTCCTACAGTGATTAGGGGTCAGTAGAAGAAACCACACTGCTCAGTAGACGTGTGCGATTCGTTTCGTTCCGAATCGAAATTCGGACAAATTTTCGGAAATTCGTAGATTCCGATCATCCGAATCTCCGAAATTCCCGTTTCCGAATCTGAAACGAAACCTCCGAATCCGAACTTTCGGATCCGAATTTCGGATTTTGACCTGTAATTTCGGATTCGGATCAATTTCAGCCGATTAGAAAACGAAATCCGAAAAGAATCCGATCCGAATGCGAACGTGCGGTCGAACGAACGGAAATAAACGCACTTAACCATGTGACTACTTTCTAACCAATCACATAATAATGGAGCAGTTGGCCTTTTTAAAGGTCAACTTGACCAAGCTGGGGTACCCATCCCTCACTCTGGACATCAATTAAAATCACCTCAAATTTCTCATTTGTTTAGTGTCCAAGTTTGAAAATGTATAAATTAAAAAACAAATATGTATTTGTTCTTTGTGGCTCCCTGTCCCTCCCATCAGTGTATAAAAATCATCCAAACAACTTTTAAAAAAAAAACGGTGGTCAATGTGCCAAATTTTTCAAACCCTAAACACCAAAGTTTGTGTTACCCTATTTGCTGCCCTCACTGTGTGATGGTACTCTTCGGATGCTGAAATAGGCCCGGTAACACCGGTGGCCTGTCCTGCATTCCTGCCTCCGTGGAAGCAGACATTTTTTATCATAAAAAAACATTATGGTCAACGTGCCAAATTTTTTCCAGCCCGTAACGGCTCATATCAAGTTGGTGGTTTCTTGCTTTATGTCCCACTCTCCGGACGGCGAAAGAGGCGCCATAACATCGGTGGAATTGCCTGCATTCCCGCCTCTGTCGAAGGAGAAATTTTTCATGACCAAAAAATTTAATTATGGTCAACGTGCAAAATGTTTCCCAGCCCGGAACTGGCTACTACCAAGTCGGTTGCGTCTGGCTTGATGCCCCCACTCTCCGGACGGCAAAAGAGGCGCCAGAACATCGGTGGAATTGCCTGCATTCCCGCCTCTGTCGACGGAGACATTTTTCATGACCAAAAAATTTAATTATGGTCAATGTGCCAAATGTTTCCCAGCCAGGAACGGGCTACTACCAAGTCGGTTGCGTCTGGCTGGATGCCCCCCACTCTCCGGACGGCTAAAGAGGCGCCAGAACATGGGTGGATTTCCCTGCTTTCCCGCCTCTGTCGAAGGAGACATTTTTCATGACCAAAAAATCCAGTTATGGTCAACGTGCCAAATGTTTCCCAGCCTGTAACGGGCTACTACCAATTTTTGCGTTAAATCTTTCATAAAATTTGCAGCCTGATGAAAGTGATTGCCTTCGCAAGGCT